GACGAAGCGTATGTAAAGATGGATTTATTTTTAAAGAGACCTTACAAAGATGGATTACGGGTCTATGAAGCCACTGGTCGAGGTGATGTCCCTAGCAAGTTCAAATTCGTTTTTGCCGATAAATTTCTGACAAGTTGAAAAATGACACAGATGTCAAAATGGCCGAATTTTTGTAAAAATGGAAATGATTTCCCATAACACAATTATGAAAAGTTTTATGCAAATTAGAGAAGGTCCGAGTTTTTCCTATTCGTAATTTGGCGTGGATTTGCTCTCCATATGATCTTTTGTCCCTTTAGATGCCATTCAACCTTTTGTCCTCGATCATTTTTCTTTCGATATTTTGTCGCTAAACCTTTTGTTTTTCGACCTTTTGTCGTACAACCGATAATCTCATGTAGGTTTCAGAATTTTGAAAACGCTAAAATCGAAACTCAATTTTTTGCCTGGATCTCAAGTTAACAATCCTTAATTTCCAAAACAATGTTTAAGATCATTTCATCACTTTTTCACATTCGGGATTATGGCGTTCCTGGTGTTCGGCCTGATTACCCAATATCATTTGTCTTCTAAGTACAGTGATTCTTCAATGCAATGGTTGTTTAGGTACACAAGGTTATAGGGCAAAAAGTCGTAATCCTTTTCCCTTTGTCCTTCTCCTTTTTCTTTCCCTCTTCTCTTTTCAGAAAGCGAGTAATGGCGCTATAGCCATAAGTCATAAAAGGCTAGGACAAGAGTTAGTGCTCATGCCCCAACCGTCAGAAGAAAATGGAGCATCACTTAACCTTTCTAGTTTTGATGCTTCCAACGACCAACCAATCATACAATTACCAAAATCGGAACGTACGGTACGAGATGTCCACGTTTCATCCATTTATTGGATTCTGAAGCATCGTGAGCACCAGATTTAAACAGGCCCGATGTTTTCTGAATCATCTTGCCCCTTAAATGCTGCACAGTAGGCCGTTTTGATATGTGTGACGCATCTTTGATGTGAAACATATATCAAATAGACAAGAAAAATGATGGAGGTATATCCATCATTTTCCAGGATGATTTCAAGAACTGGCTGTGTTGGTGTTAGATTAGATTAGACAAGGTTATAGGGCAAAAAAGTCGAATTACAGGCTTACAAACAGTTACGAATTCTAGACTCAAAAACATTCTTTAAGATTCTAAATCCCGAAAAAGTCAACATTTTTAGATTGCAAAAAATTGCAAAATTTTAGGCTAAGGAAAATGTTCAATATCTTCTTCTTTGTTGTAGCGGTATTTTAAATAATTTCTTGCATAATTTTCTGTCAGAAAAACAAAGGTCCTTCAATTTAGCTCAACTGACAACTTCTAGAATTACCGTATGCGTGATAATGTTTGCACCATTGAGCAATGTCAAAATTAAAAAAATTCTCAAAAATTTCGCTTTTGAGTTTTTTTATTTATTCAAAGGGGGATGTTTCTCAGAGTCTTAAACTATTTTAATCATCGATCGAGTTTCCACTTGCTGCAATTACGGACTCCACACGCTTCCGGAATCCACGGCAGGTTCTAATAATGTAGTCTTAATCCATTTCTCTCCAGGTACGGGTCAATGTTTGTCTGAGGCTTGCTGTACTCGGGTGGCGTTTAGGACAGGCCTTGGCCTTCATGACGCGCCATATTGAGTAATCCAGCGGATTAAGATCGGGGCTGGATGGCGGCCACATATCCTTCGCCCAGAACGGAAGATGTTACTGCAACCACTTTTGAGTGCGGTTCGAGGTCTGGCACGGAGCCCCATCTTGTTTAAATACAACATTTGGCTTCGGACCGTACTGTGCTTTGATCCACGAAAAAACATACTTACTTAAAATCCCGATGTAGACCTCCGTGTTGTCCTTGTCGCCTTCTGGAATGAACACCGGGTCAATTTTTTATGCCATCGGAAGCCACCAATCCAAACACCATAACGCTAGCAGGATGCTTGGTCAGATACACGTTCTTGTGCTCGTCGGCCACGTCTTTTACCGGAAGAGAACTAATATACCGGTCGGTTCTGGAATTTGATACGGGATCGACGGTAAACATGCTCTCGTCGGTGAACAGGATTACCGGATTTTTTCGCTTAAGGAAGTTCAAGATTTTCTTGCATCGTTCGACTCGTAGCTCCCGGATGCGGTTGGTAATCATGTGAGATTTGTTCTGTGCCCTCGACTTCGCCCCGCAATCTTCCTTTACGATCTTCCGTGCCATAAAGTCACTGATCCCGTGTTTCTTTGCCATTTTCCTTATTGAACGCACTGGATTCACCCGAATCTTCCTTTTGATAGCAGCGATAACCCTCGGAACCCGAGCTGACCTCGGACGACCTGTGGCCACCTTCGCGGATAGTTGTCCTTTCTTTTCTCAGTCTAAAACCCTTTTGACGGTCCACCAGGACACTCCCACGGCGATTGAAATGTCTTTACGACATTTGCGCGTGGGACAAATCACGAATACGCTGCCACTTCGTCATGGTGCAACTGTCAAACTAAGTAAATCATTTTCTTTTATACACAGCCTACTACGGTATGAGCTATAGGTTACGTGCATGCAAAGAAAACCAAGGCATTGTATGCACAGGTGAAACGGGAACCTTTGGTGGTGCAAACATTATCACGCATACGGTAGCTACATGTGCTTACCCCAAGGTTCATGTTTAAGTCCCGTACTTTATAATTTATTTGTCAAAGATATTGATAACTGCTTAGATAATCGATGCGCGCTTAGACTGCTTGCAGATGATGCCGTGGTTTCCACGTGCGGAAATCTTGCAAAGACCATTGCAAATTCCCTAAATAGTCTGTCTTTCTGGGCAAGAAATTTAGGGATCGAGTTCTCACAGCAAAAAAAAAACTGAACTGGTAGTGTTTACAAGGAAGCGGTTTCCAGCACAACTGCGTCTAAAACTTTTGGGCAGAGACATTACCCAATCTTTAACCTTGAAATACCTTGGAGTCTGGTTTGATTCAAAATGCACTTGGGGTACCCACATTTTTGGGTATTTGAAACAAAAGTGTCAACAAAGGATCAACTTTCTACGATCAATTTCCGGGACATGGTGGGGTGCTCACCCGGAAGACCTAATTAAACTGTATAAAACGACTATTCTTTCAGTTCTTGAGTATGACTCTTTTTGCTCAGCCTTCAGTTCAAATTGTTTGTTGGGATTTCTTGTTTTAAGTTATGCCCCTATCTGTACACGTCAGTGTCGCGTGGTTGTGGTGTGGTTCTTTCTTACCCGCGTAAACTGACTCTATCGAGCCAATGCCCAAGAAAACTATTGATTTGATTTGAAAATACGTTTTCCCAAATATTTCCAGATGATTGCTTCCCCTTTGTATCCTCCCCAGCCATCCCGCTTCCCTTTGTGTTCGCATTCCCGCATCCCGCATTTGCTCCTACATGAACTTCATCGGTTTGTGCTCCGCTAATTGTGCCTACAATCAATTTGATGTGTTTAATACCAATGAAAGGAGAAAATGATTCTTCATTTCAAAACCTTTCTAGCCTCAACAGAGCCGCATAGCCGAATCGTACTGCGCGCGTTGCTGGTTTGCTACATATTCGATGATCATTATCGGAGGGGCGGCTTTTGGGGGCCTTTGTTTTTTTCCGGTACGTATTGTTTTGCTTTCCGCCTGTATCAATTACCACGGAACTCCATCAGCTCCTTCCCCAACTCCCCTTCCGTGTCTGGCTGGAAAGGCGGGTATTTATCAAATATATACATGTTCGATGTGGTGCGGCATTCAGTATTTCAGTTTCGAATGCATGACGTGACCTACCGAACCGGACCAGACTCCGTGGACCCCGAACTGCGTAAAGTCAGTGGGTTAAGTAAAACTCTTTTCACTTTTCCGCGTGGAATGATGCGGTGTCTGATGGATGCGGATGCGATCACTTTCGATCACTGCTATAACCACACATTGCTGGAGGACCTTGAACTTGGACGTGACGCGAAGAACGGTAGTCGTCATTGGAATTTCGTCACCCATGTGCGAGGTGTCAATTGTTTTATGAGTTGCGGCTTGTTTACGGTTTCCCTAAACAGGAATTCCAACGCTGCTTCGAGGCTCGATGTTTGCTTTTACATAAAGGTGATTCCGAAAAACTGCCGGATTGGGTACAAGGGTAGATTGATAACTTTTAAGTTATTAAAAATGTCGGACAACATTCACTGAAGATCGTAATTAAAACCCAAAATACACACTGCCAAGGGGAAGGGATGCTATCGCCCATGCCGTTCTTCGAATAAAAGCAACATATTAAGCGGGACTTCCCTGCTGCAGGATGATGTTCCGTCAAGAGGAGGACGGAAAAGGAGCGGCCAATTGAGTGAGTGAGGCCGCGCGGTATGGAATATGTATTATGGTAATTACGACCGGTCTGACCGCAGAAGGATAGACAATATATACGGTGCTACGTTCGTGTATGTTCCGTACGGCACTGCGACCGGCGGAACATACGTTACGTACGTACATACGTCCATCCATCGGTACAGCTCTATGCTGCGAGAAGAGAGAAGAAGCAATTGTACTTAATCACGCGACGGCAAAGATGAAAAGATGCCTCTTCGTGGCATCGGGGAATTTTGCCATTTTGTAGTATATGTTTCGCGTGCCTGTCTTGTGTATGGCGATGACGACGACGACGACGACGACTGTGTATGAGACGAAGATCTATGAGGTTCGTGTGTTGTCCGAATCCAGCAAGAGACAAAGTCTTTTTCGAATCCGGATGGAACTATGTACGCGCTTCACTGGATCCGAAACGGACTCTGGTGGCACAAATTGGTTGAATTGGTATTGCTACAATTATCATCATACGTCTGAGAAATTTAGTCTCCCGACGAAATTGCTCTCGGAAATTTGATTTAGACTATCGAACTTTGCAATTAAACCATGAACTAGCACAATCTTTGTATTACTAATTTTCAATAGAACCACTTCAGCCGTATAACTCTAACACATCCTTCATTTCAGATTCCGGCAGCGAGTCGGGCTCGCACAAAAGTATGCGCGGTAAAGGACCCTCCGGGCCGTCGGACGGCAAGCCAACCCGGGTGCGGACGGTGCTCAACGAGAAACAACTGCACACCTTAAGGTACGTACACCCTAAAGAGACTAAAATATACAAAGAGACGCCATCTGATCCCTGTGAAAACAAGTAATCTAGCAGCCATGGTAGCCGATACGCGCAACACTGTCATTGCTCAAAACTTCGCTTGACTTTTGTTTTGGTCACGTTTGTTGTTATTCGAGGAAAATTATTCATTGCTGTTTTTCGTGGTGAATCGATTTAGAGTTGGAAATCAATTTAAATCTTTGCGCTTGGGTTTAGGGATTATACCTGTTAATAGCTGAAAAACTTGTTGAAGCAAATAACAATACTTCTCCAATCACCTGTTATTGGGGGTTTGACAGGTCTCGTGCTCGATTTGAATGACACTGACAGATAAATTGGAATCCCAATCGGAACATGGCGTCTCTTTGTATATTCTAGTCTCTTTAGTACACCCGCAACAAAGCCAAGCCAGCATCCACTGACTGTCCGTTGCTCGACTCTGCTCGATGGTTATAAATTTTTTTATTACGCTCACGGAGCGGCGGGTCCGCATACAGACGAACGTGCTGATCACACCTTTTTGTCCTACCAGCAATCTCAATCTCCGCGAACGATAAATTGTATAGACCTATACCTAGACTTAGACAACAACGAAAACCTGTCAAAAGTCACGCGAAAGCACCCAGATTCGGACAAATCGGACTTTTAAAAAGTGTAGGGGGTGTTTGTAGTAGATCGACCTGTACGTGCCGCCGGAATCGAGCGGCTTCTGCTTTCATCTCACCTGATAAGAATCGCTCTCCTCCCATATTGGTACCTATCGACTGTTGTTGTTGCTGGTGCGATGAGTGCATTCGTTTCATGAAACCGCCACCTTTTTTTAGGATCTAGCCATCAGCAGTAGTAGATGGGTGGAGGTGGTTTGATCGATATTGAATCGAATTTCTGGTTTGTCACTTCTTTTGGAAAATTTCTTGACTTCCATAAATGGTGATGGGACCTAATTCCACTACGTCAAATACCATGAGGCCCAATGGGTCATTAGGCCGAAATATTAATATTCGTTCTTCTTCTGTCATACAGATCTGCATTGATCCGATTAAATAAAGGAATGAGCAGCAAACAAAGAAGACAGAATCATCTTGATGCAAAGTTATTCCAAAATATCAAAAATCGTTGCTGTAAAACGGGGGGAAGTTAGTCACTTTTTACCGATAAACCTGAATATTTATCCATATGTATGGCACACAAACTTAAATCTTTCAAACTTGTACTGCTTTTCTAATGTATGTACTTAGTTGTTAAATTGCATGTTTAGTTTATTTTTTAGAATTTAAATAAGTTTCAAAACGCAAATTTTCAATTCTAGTGTAAAGTTGATCATGTAGGTTTTCATACAATGCAACATTCAGAAGTTGGCTTTCATGCTAGATTTGTTATTCGCTGAAGAAGAATATGGTGTTAAAATATCTACAATAGTTGCCGTTTGCGATAAAACTGCATATTTTTTACACAAAATAGTTAAACAATGTAGGCAAATCGTATCAGTTTTTCACATAAAATCATTTTGTATGATACTAAATAGTTTATTTTCACAAAATCTGATTTCAAATTCGGAATAAGCGTCCTAAACTTAAGTAAAATAAGCAGCACCAGAATAAATGCTGATCACGATCGGATTTTGAAGTACTGTTAAAAGTTGCCTATTTCATCACTTTCTCAAAATGGTACATTTAGAGCGGTAGAATGCATCGTTTGTTAGGGAAAACTTTGCAAAAGTACTATTTTATACTACCTAATGAAATTACAAACAAGCTATTTCGTAACAGACTGACTAAAAGTAAATTGGTACGCACAAAAAGACCTGTAATTCATGATTCAATAAGTTTAAAAACTCTATTAATGGTTGCTTTACAGTACTTTTAGTAAAACTTCAAAGTTACAGCATTAGATGGTAGCATTTCTCCAGTTCGAACGAAATCTCGAACCTTCCTCTTGATGGAGCCCATCAGCGCCCGCTCTGTGAAAAATGACACGGAATCAGCGTATTTCTTGTATTTTGCTCGCATTTGCTGGATGGATCATTAGATTGGAGACAAAATCGATCTTGTTGGCAGCATACCACTACAGAACCACCTTGGAGTAGTGGCAGCTGGCCAAATCGGGCCAAAAGATGACTTTGCTCCTATACTTGCGGATAAACAGGAAATACACGCTTTTGCAGGCATTCTTCGATGTAAACTTGGCATGCCACCATCGAGGATGTGACGAATGGTTCCGTTTTCAGGCTACAACTGCAAATCATGGCCTTCTTCGCGAACTTGTCGGCAAACACGAACTTGAATCTTCCCGGCACATCCCCACGTCAAGTCGCGATGTAAACCTTTTGACCGGGAAGCTCCTTAAAATCGAGTTTGACATATGTTTCGTCATCGATCAAAGTGCAGCCCTAGTGTTTCGTCAAAACACGGTCGTACAAGAGCCTTGCACGCTTTTTGGCCACGGAATTCTGCTGGTTAGGATGTTTAGTGGCTTTGTACGACCTGTGTCCTTCCCTGGTAAGGATGTTCCGCACCGTTTGAAAGTTGGCGTTGTACCTTCTAGCCGCATCTCGGATCGAAAGACCGGGGTTGGCTTTAATGCACCTCAACACCTTGCTATACAGCTGACGGTTCCAGTTTTTTTGAAGGTCCGTTGATTCCTTTCCACACTCAGGGTTTCCTTGTAGGTTTTGAGCACTCGACAAACTGTTGTTTTCGGCATCTCCAGCACTTTAGCCAGCTTGGAACCGGACCACTCTGGATTTTCCAGGTGTTTGTGCACGATATTTTTTCTTCTTTCGAGTTCCATTTGACGTTATTTCTGAACGCGATCGACTACTTTGATCAAACTTGCATCATTTCAGTGTCAACATTTCAAAGGGGCGTAATTGCTTTTGTAAACAATGGCTTTAACCGTCGATTTCTTGCGAATTAAAGCTCACCCCTCCAAATTAACAATGCTAGCTGGTAGAGGAAACATTCCTCTACTTGATGGTTTTATTATTTTTTTGGAGGCGAACCAGCCCAAGGCTGAAAGCCTCCCTAATAAAGATAAATTAATAAATTATTAATTTTTATGTGTGAGCTTTTATTCGCGAGAAATCGACGGCTAAAGCCATTGTTTACAAAAGCAATTACGCCCCTTTGAAATGTTGACACTGAGTTGTTCTCTGTAGAAGTGCGCAATGGGTGTACCAATTTACTTTTAGTCAGCCTTTATAGAATTCCCATAGTGCCCTTATGCGGTTAGATCACCTCATAGTGGTGCGATACGATTTCAGATCCACGACCGATCCCTAGTACTGACTACTTCAACTAGACGAATAGGATTTTTCAGTAACAAAGGAACACATCGTAGCCCAGCCCTTGTTACGTTTTACGCCTTGTTGATTGTGATAAGACTCTTGAACGAGGATGATCTTGAAACAAGGAAAAACGGGTTAGTCTTCTGAGCAGTTCCAGGAAAAATAGAGAAAAAATAGCGATTTGTATTAAACTTTGCATAATTGTGTGTAATGGGCAATGATTCCCATTTAAGCTTAAATTCAGCCATTTTGGAACTTGTAAAATCTTCAAAAAAGCGTCCTAGATTTTTTCAAAAAATTGTAGCACGGAAACGGCATTTCTGAGCGAAAACTGAAAACTGACAGAAAGCACAAATATCAAAGTTATTTCTGAAATTTTCAATCACATGTAATTAAAAACAAACAAATCAATTCAAACAATGCATTAGGTCCTAAGCTTGATTTGGCAAAGACGTAATGATTTTCCAACCAATTTGAACTGGTAAAATCGAACCAGTTTACTGTTGTTTTAAGAAGGAAACATATTGAAGGTGTGAAGAGTCAAACGTTTTTTTTTTGGAAATAGCTTCGTGTGGTTTTTTTTATTTAGTTATTTTAAATTATCTAATCAAAACAAACAAAATGAATGAATTGATCACCTTAGATTGCATATCATGACATGCAGGCAAACCGATTCAGCATCGCATTTCAACTGCTTACAAGAAACGAAAAAACGAACAAAAGGTACTGCCGTTACAAGAGAGCCATGCACAGCTCATGCACTGATTTGTTTTGTTTACTGAATTGACACCAACGGGTGACTACGATGTAGCCGGCGCCGGTGGTGTAGTGGTAACCGTGACTGCTTTCTCACCCCAATGGGTCTGGGTTCAATCCCAGCCGTGATCGGTGGGATTTTTCTGAGGCATAAAAATCTCTGGTCACGTCTTCCTTCGGAAGAGAAGTAAAGCCGTTGGTCCCGGCCCATGTGTGTTGTTGAATGGGTGCGATATCCTACACAGGTGAGGAAGCTGTCTTCCTGCACATTCGATTGCCGTCAATGGATGGCGATCGATGTCCGTCGGTGATTGGCACTAGATTGTGGAACAAAGACCGACGTTAAATAAAGGCAAGAAGAAGAAGATGTATCTTTGCCAGACCCAGATAACATTCATTGATCGATTCCTTTCCCCAACTTTCTCTTTCGTTAATAACTGGGCTACAAAATCGTTTCTTGCCGTGTTTGCCGTATAAGATGCTATGTAATAGCTTCTTTTATCGAACTATGTGTTGAAAATAGCTGGAAAAGGTCTATACATGGCCATGGGCGATGGCCACCAAAGAGAAAATCGATAAAGAGAATCTGTGAATGTTACTTAGGACTTAATGCATTGTTCAGCTTGAAATCGTCTGGGCCCTCTGTAATGCTACTTAGATTTTTTTTCAGAATTTCCTCCTCCTGACAATTTCTATAGAACCAAATCGAAAATTTCTTGTAATTTCCTAATATTTCATAAATATTTTCCTCACTTGGAAATAGCTTCAACATTAGCCTGTAATTGTACAAATTATTGTTTTGGCAAGTCCTTAGAATTCGATTATCTTGGAATTCTTGCGCAACACGAGAAAAGGCCCTATCATTGTTGATCGATTCTCTCCATCGATTTTCTATTTGGAGAATAAGCCGTCTGCAAATGAATTTTCCATTGAAATT